ATGATACAGAAATAGGTTTTACAAGTTAGAGATCCCACCAATCTTTTATAGATTACTCATAACCACACCTTAATTGACACGTGATCCAAATATCATATCGTCATTGGTGACGCGAGTACCCATCACTACACTATTTCGCCTCCCTAGGTTGGCGAAAGCAAAATTCACTACAATGGCATTTTCCCAGGGTATTAACTTTCCACGTGGCTACGCTTCTGAAGCGTAGGTTTCATAGGTTTTTCAAGGATTTTTATTTTTATTGTATTTAAAATAGAATTAATTTAGATAAAATTTTACACTAATTACTTAATGTCATTCTGTATATATTGTTTGATGAGAAATTTAGTGTTTTTTTTTTTTTGGTGGTGTTCTAGTGTACCATTATCAGTCTTCGTAAAGATACATGATCACTACTCTAAACTGACCGTGACAGACAGTAATTTTGTCTCTATACATAAAGATACATTTGCATAGATGGACAAACTTAATCGACTGGTTTTGTAAATGATGCAAAATTAGCTATTTGTTCTCACCGCTGTCCCCTGAGTTTCAGAGGGCAATTACTCCAAGTTTCTCCCTGTTGTTTCAAAGAATAGTACAATGGCGAGCGTGACAAGTATAAACACCTCGTGTCTTTGGGGAGGTGCACGTGCAGTCAGCGGAGGCTCACGCTGCGGAGCCTGGCAAAAGTGTAAACAAAGATTTAGATGGCAAGACTGGAGCCCTCAAAGAGGATGCCTCACTCTGCAAAAGCTATTCTTCACATATCCTCGCTCATACAATCATTCCACATTTGCATAATTGTAATGTGAGAAAGGAAAAATGTGGTCCGGGAAGAACAATCATGGCCATGGATTAGGCTATTACATCCAATAATTCCCCACATACGGGGCTGAGAGAAGGAGAGGGCCACTGATCACTGTATCCTTCTAAATAAATTACAAATTATCTAGGATAGCATCCACAATGCTGTACTAGACTGGATTCTGTTAAGATTCTTTCTTGGTAGGAACTTTTGCAAATTAGATTGTTCCCCTTCAGAAACTCGAGCTGCGTCGAAACGCTACGGGAACGCCTCCAGCGTGACCACGCTCTGAATCCAGCGTGACCCGACTGTGCTCGTGGGTTTCGCATATGGATCCAGTGGAGGGAATGTAGACGGGCGAGTCCCTATCTTCTTCCTTAACCACCAGATCCAGCGCCCGCTCTCGGGGTTCGGAAGCCCGCGCTGCGGTTCTTTCACCCCGGTGAGAGGGCTCGACGCTCCACCTGTCCTCCTCCGAGGAGGTTGACGAGGGCGTCTATGAGATCGCCAGTTGCACAAACACCATTTACACAAGCATATTATGCCTAATATTATGAGCAGCTTTACTGTGGAGCGGAGCTGTTTTACAGTTGCACAAGCATTAGGTCAATACTTTTATAAAAAAAAAGACTCGCGCAGTCAGCTCTCGGAAATAAGGGGCTGATTGTGCTTCTCCCCGCTGAACGCTCTGCTCCCGCCAGGCACGCTCCGAGGAGTGTGTCCGTGCTTGCGAGCTCGCGGTTCGAGCTCGATGCTGTGGCTATTTTTCTCCGAGGAGATTGATATTGTTTGTGTGACCAAGTGGCTCGCGCGGTGCCGAGGCAACGCGTGTATTACATCATTTTCAGTTTTTGATGTGAATCTTACCACACCAGACCGTGTTTACTCGTTTGGTTGTTTGGCTGCATTTAATTCTGAGGAATTAAATTAAGTATTTACCAAGTGGCTCGCGCGCTGCCGAGGCAACGCGTGTATTACATCATTTTCAGTTTTTGATGTGAATCTTACCACACTAGACCGTGTTTACTCGTTTGGCTGTTTGGCTGCATTTAATTCTGAGAAATTAAATTAAGTATTTATCTGACTATGAGAAGTATATCATTTTCAATTTGTGAAATGAATCTTATCACACCAGACAGTGTTTACTCGTTTGGTTGTTTGGCTGCATTTAATTCTGAGAAATTAATTTAAGCATTTATCTGACTATGAGAAGTTCGATATATCATTTTCAATTTGTGAAATGAATCTTATCACACCAGACCGTGTTTACTCGTTTGGTTGTTTGGCTGCATTTAATTCTGAGGAATTAAATTAAGTATTTATCTGACTATG